ACCTCCTGAATCCGGAGAAGGCTTCCGACCTACTGAAGAAGGAGAGGACTAGAACTCGAACTAAGACAACACAAGTCTGTGGTGGGGATTAAGCAGTATGATGGATTGCATCGCGCAGACTGCCAGGCCTGTAGTCGACCACTTCAGGAAGACATGCCCGGTCGGAACCTAATCTGGCGAATGCCCCGAGCGACTATTAAGTCAGTGCATTTGATCAGCGACTGACCCAAGATCTTGTCCGGCGGGATCTGGTCTAGTGTCGATTCAAATTGATTATTACCCGGATCTCCGAGTGAGCGAGTGTCTTTGCGCTCAAAATTGAGCCAGTTCTGGTCCTGCCGGATACGCGGTATCTACAGTTTGGTATGGTAATCATGCATCCATCCGTGGATTCGCCGTGATCGACAACAAAGTCCCCAAGGGTATGGTGCAACCGTCGAGTGGCTGCCATGTCCGTGGATGATCATGGGTCGCAGGGATCGGTCCCTCCTCTGCATGACTCCAAGCAGAATCCGGAAGGACCTGATGAAAGTAGTATTGTAGATGACATCCGCCCAGATAGGTAGTCAGATGTGATGTCCAACAGCATCCATTCCCCTCTCTATCCAAGGCAGTCCAACCCCTCTTCCGTGTAACCTAGAGTGAAGCAGGTGAGAAACCGAGTAGCTCTTCACCAAGTTCATAGGCTCCTTCAGCCGGATAAGTGAGTAATGATAAAACCTTGATTAGCTTCCAGGTGCAACTTGTCTGCATGGCGAGTGTTACATGGGTTTCGCGTGTGCAGGTTACACCCCAAGGACAAATACCCAGAGTGAACGAACAATGATCAATCACTCACATCTGGGTAAACTTTCCGTGACTACGAGGGTAAGTAACACATCGTGTCTCTCTTTCTCCCTCTCTCTGCCCGACCTCCCCAAGCCAGGGACTCGATTTTCGACATATCCTGACTGGGTAACACCGGGAGGAAAGCTAGTTGTCAGATGATGACCAGGTTCGTCGACACTGATCGACACAAGTTTGCTAGGATGAGAGGGGGTCAGTGAGGAGTTATTGGCTCATGTCTGGTCTGTGCATACGACTCCTGCTGGGTGTTTGGACGACATCAGTGAATCGCGGGGTCTTCTGCCATGCATGAAGAGCGATGGTCGCCGAAAGGATCCCGAATACAAGGCCATTCTCTCGTCCTCTCACCCCCCTCTCCCCCCCTTGTCTGGCACCGATGGCTTACTGAGCGGCTTGCAGATATCGATCTTAGCTGCAGAAAGTGCGAAGCCATGTAAGCCATCCTAGATCGGCATGACACCAGTCTCGTAGAAGGAACAGAGCGATCGGAAGGATGCTACGGATATTAGCAGACGGCAATGGCGGTACATCCCAAGAATTCATGATTCGTGACAGCTCCACTGGCGACAGCAGAGACAGGGCTAGGAACAGACCAGCAGGAAGTTGACCCGACAACTTGTCACAAGGAGGGGTATCCATACCCACAGCCAGCAGAACCACGATCCAGAACCGACTTTAGGTTCCTTCCTCTGAATATTGTCATTGTTCGTAATTTCCAGGATCGACGCAGGGGGAATCCGTGTGTCAGCCAGCGTGTGCCAGGAATCCACGTACTGCCCAACATGACCCGACTCCTGATTAGTTTCAGTCTATAGACCTGGAGGTTAAGTCAGTGACCGGTTGCATAAATCCCAGGATAACTCGTACCGGAGGGCGGATATCCGATTAGTGCGCCCCTGGAAGAGGGAATATGGAGGGAGAGAAAGTGCGTAATGTGGAGAGAGTCAGTCATCCAGAGAAAAGTCTGGGCCAGACAGCCAGACCACCCATCTTCTCCATCCTTCCCGACCCAAGAAAGCACCCAAAAAATTGAGTGGAGTAACAATGGATCCAAAGTACAAAGTACCAAACTAACTTAGTACTCTGTTCATTGTTCAGGCACCTCATCTCAACCTCAACCCGACAAAATACTTCATTGTAAGACCTCCACGTACCTAACCTTCCTAAAACGGTATATAGTCGTGCCAATCAGCAAGAAGAATCTCGCTTATGCACTTCGCACTTGAGTAATTGATTACCAAGTTAATTCTTCTAGTTAGGTAATGTATCTAGTACTATCTAGTAAATTCCCAACAAATCTGTTAGCTGTCAATCATAATCCCTAAACGATGCAGGTTAATATATTCAAGCAATATAGATTAATTAAGTGGCCCATCCATGGTGCACCATTAGGGTCGTGAATTCGCCATGCCAAGTACTACGCTAATTTCTTTCCCCGGCCTCCCCGGGACCGTAGTACGGGCACTAGATCTACTAGTTCGCATGCCGAGAAGCTACTTACTTACCTTTTCCCCCCTTGGACTGGATCACTGGAGATTGGTCGTGGATTTCCGTTGGTCCTTCCTTTACGGCCCCCAGGATAGGGGGGTTTCCGTTTGACAGGTGACTTTGTGAGGGGATGTAGACTAATGGACGGAGAGAAGTCGTCAGGGGAACGTGAAGTACTATACCATCTGTCTATCTATCTATCTGGTTAGTCAGGTTACCACCTTACTCAGTACTAAGTCATTTAATATACCGGGGTCTTCCCGTGCGGGCAAGGGTCAGGGGTGATTTGGAATAACTAGCAGGTAGGCCGACATACCCCCATGAAATGCTCGTTTATTTAATCTATTTAGCTTGATTGACGTACATTGTTGCCGACAAGACTATCCACAACACCTGGGCGCTTATCAATCCATGGGTGTGCGGAGAAGTAGGAAGAAAAAGAGAGAACTAACAGAAGTAAATCAGGACAGACCCGTTATCATTCCTACTCCCCAAAAATCCAATAGAGTAAAACTAGTAGCTGGTAGCTTCCCAACGGCTTGATAAACAGGATTGCTGCAAGCGCTTACTTCTGGTCCGTAAGGTTTCCACGCGAGTGCCCGATGCTCGGGATGGAGAAAGAAAAAAAAAAGAAAGAAAAAAGAAAAAGAAAAAGAAAAGAAACAAAAGCAAAAATAGGTAAAAGGCTACGATGGCTTTCCATCAACCCTGGTCAATCCCCCAAAATAGCAGTCCTATGGAAGCATCGAATTTGTTTCAAGTTGGTTTCAAGGGCGGCAAGAATGTTGTTCTGGAAGCATTTTTCCTGATCTCCTACTGGCGACCGCAGGGAAAGACAGTGCCAGGGGTTAGAATCCCAGCGCTTATGTTTGGGCGAATGCAAGCGCCAGCACACAAAGTAGTGCATGCAGCTAAGCAGGACTAGTCCCAACAGCACAATAATATCCACAAAGCGCTGACACTGCTCGACCCTTGCCAATCAATTAGCTGCTGTCTATCTATAGTCTAGCAATGTCTAGCATCAGACAGTCGGGCGCTTGTTTGGGACTGCGACAGAATCTCCTGGGTTTTTTAGTGCGCCGCCACGAGACGAGGCCAAGGAAGATATTAATGGAATCCTTTGTGTTACTTACTTTACTTGACCAAGCACGATGGCGGGCGAGGGATGCTTCCTTGCATCCTACGCAACGCCGAGATAATTTAGACATTCGTAAAATTTGGGGCCAAAATTCAAGCCATCCCATAGTTAATCCACAGTAATGGTCCATCAGTTATCTGTCGTCGCGACAACAATGATGGGGCGCCCCCTGGAAAAATTGGCACCTGCCAGCTGGGACCCGACACAAACTGACATGCGAAACAGTCTCTCTAAAAAGTGGGGTGCAGTGGAGACTCGGCCACGATCCGTCGGAACGCCATGATGGATGTGTCACTTCCGTATCCAAAGTGTACTATACCAGCCAGACTGCGTCCAGGATGATTATCACCTAGAGAATCGGCTTCTAAACTTAGTGCTGCACTCGATGAAAAGATCCGGGACTTCTTGTTCAGGATGGTGTACCTTACAGGCGCGCTGTGTTGTTTCTAAATCTGTATGCCTGCAGCAGCATCCGGAGATATCGGATGCTGTGGATAAGATAGTGGTCTAGTAGTACTCTGCGTGTTAGCCGTGTTGGTCCTATTATGCCCCGTAATTGGTGTGGCTCATGTGGGCGCTTAAGACACTTTACTTGACGGGGAGCGTAGCATCCTAAGAATAGCCCAGTCCAGGTCTCTTAATCACCAAATATTGTGGTCAGGTTGATACCTTTCGATTAGTGGCCGGTCGATCATTTCCTCGATGAGCCGAATACCAATCATTTCCCCATGGCGATAAAAGAAATTTCCCTTTCGTACTTGTGTGTTTTCGAGTCTGACACATGGGAGCAGGGATTAACTATTTCCTCCGCTGAGTTGACATTCTGGGCGCACCCGAAATAAGGCTTAGCGAACCCCTCATTGTCAATCCTCGGGATTGTCTGGGATTACCTGTCACCTTAAGTTTTGGATGATCAGGGATACTCCTTGAATGGCAGTTTGGCACGAAAATGTTCCAGACTGTTTTCGCCGACTACTTGTGCTGGTATAATCATTATGAGCTAGCTGCAAGATACTGAAATAAGAAATAAGCCGTTGGTGTCAGTAAGACTGAAATAAAAAAAGAAAAGCGTGGGCGATGGCCCTTCCCTGCCGCACCGAGAAAGCGTCTCCAGAATAAGGGACCGTCAGGATGGTAAAGTTTTGAAATCTCATCTGGATCAATTAAGTTACACGCATCAGCATATTTACGTGGTCTGCCACGTGCGGATACTTTGGGTGGAATCCGGGTGTCGTATTACCCTCGTGTACGGAAAGGCTCAGTACGTGAAGCCCCTGAGTGCACATCCATGTCAGCTTCATTGTAATCCCTGAGTAAAGCGTGATTACTTGTCATCTGTCGACGCTCCAAAAGAAATGGAGCTCGCTTTTCTGTTTCAAGCAAATGGTGTCCCTTATGACACATAAGGTCATATAATAAGTTGTGGGTCGGTTCAAATAATAAGGATTTTGGAGGCACACAACCGGAGTAAGAATTCCCTACCCATAATATTTCTGTAGGAAATTGATAGAGCCCAGACCAGTAGTGCATGCTAGTACCCAAGGTTAGGTAGAAGTCACAGGATTCTGGAACATCTAGAATACCCTGTCAGCACATCAGTGAAACGAAGCCACAATATTGGGACTTCCAGAAACTGAGGGGTGGAAGAGAAAGGAGGAAAAGGAAGCAAAACATGCCCCACCAGAGAGGAAGCTGTCGCTGTGCAACAATATTGGGGCTGGTTATCAACACATTCTAGAAGTCCGTGACGTGGTGCATTGTGTTACTTCATATTATCGTAGTGGAATAGTTTTTACCGCGACCAGCCACGGAGCTGATCCGTCGCACATAGATGAGCCAAACTTAGCAACATTGCTCCGGGAACCTCGTCGCCAAAAATTTTCGGCTATCGGTCAGTTCTACCATGTGCGACGACAATCTGACCGAGACGAGACAACATGTGGATAACCTATGACATAGGGAGAGAGCCACATTACAGGATGAATGCCACAGCGCGACCCGAGGGAGCGGTGAAAGAGAGGAGCAGGGTGCTGCGCCTCACTTCGATCAGTCCTCATCGCGGCATTAGCGCACGGGGATCTTCCAATGGAAAGTGCGGTAAGATCCGCCCGGTGACACACGATGGAAAGTATTAAGATGTGGCTCAACCAAACATGTGGCGCTAAGGTCGGGTCGGGAACTCCGTCCTCACCGACTTAGCGTCTCATTTTCTTGCGCCCCCCTTCGGAGAAGAGCGTCGGGTGTGTGCGTTCGTCACTGGTTTTCAAATTCTTCGAACCCAACCGCTTGCATTCTACATCTGCATACTGCGCCAAACCCGCTTCTGTGGCTTGATGACAAGGGGGATAAAGTCCATTGCCTTGTAGATTGTCAAGTTCGAAGCGTTTTGCAGGCTAAGTGTCCCCTAGGCCCACAATTCTTTGTCATTTCGTGTAGATATCCTCCTTTGTGGAGGACAATCATAAATGGGAGGGGATTATTCAAGGGACTTTTCAGTACAAAGTAGTAGTAATAGCCACAGATCGGTCGTTTCTTTGTCCATTGTTACTCCTGTCATACTCATGTATTGTGATCGTACGGAAGTATGGGAGGGTATGTAACAACACTACTCAGCCTTGCATGAGCCACAGTGGACCCACTCAACCTGGCAGCCACGATGTCATTTTTCTCATGTTTGACTTGCGTTCCATACCGGTTTTGAATGAAATGGGAAGAATGAAGCGACAGCTTCGTGGGACTAAGCCAAGGCATGTCATGATCCTTCTGACAGCCATGCTCTCCTACGGTGAACGTGCGATGGACCATCGTGTGCCTCCAACGTGTTCGGCGTATTTGAGGGCGGGACTATCGAAATCTATAATATTCCCCATTATAGCAGAGTCGTATATTGCCCGTCCACACACCTTCTCTCCTTCTCTCTCGGGTGGAGGGTGAAAAATATGTGCGGCTCTGTCTATATCGAAAACCCTAGTCCCGTGTTCGTCCAGTTTAGGCAAGATGATTGTCCTCGCCCGACGCCCTAAATGAGAATCGTCTTCCCGTCTGGGACAATCTCGGAAGTCTGATTGGATCGAAGAGGGTCGTCGGCCCATGACGCTTCATTTGCTCGTCGTGAGTTACTGACCAATCGTTCCGATCGCTGGAAAATGCACGTTTCTGAAAGGGGTGATGTTAGGGAGTGGAGCTGAGCTAAGATCGTCAAAAGGACCCATGAGGTCGGCGACTTGAGCGATGGGTGTTCGGAACTGGCGGCCACGGCCCAGATCCAGTTGCTTAGTTTGCTGCTAGTAAGTCCTCCACGTCCCTCCTGGATTGAGGACGATCTGAACCACATTGACGGGACGAAGGAAGCGTCCCGCCATGGGAAATTTTTTCGTTCTTCCACAGCTTGAGGAAAAGAATGACAGATCGACCACTGACGGTAGAATTGACTACCCTTAAACTTTCGAAACGTCTGTTTCCTCTGCGGTGTGTGTTAAGTCAATGACACATTCGCTCGTTTGGGTTTCTCCTTGAGGATTCGACTAGATACTAAATGGTTGGACGCGCACTACTAAGCGGATAGGTCACCAAGCACTAAAAGTTGCCCAGTCCGTATCCCCGTGATGGTGTAGCCACTAGCCTATAGAACATAGCAATTATCCGCTCGCAGGAGGTCACATCGCCTAGTGAATGGCATTGGGGAGGGGGAAAGAAAATCTTTTTGCCACCATCTTATCAGGAACAATGGCCGTGCCATGATTAGCAGGAATGCGGAGGAAGGGAAATAAACAAATATCCAACCGCTAAAACTGCTACGTAACCGACAGGGTTTGGTAGATAGTCAAATGGGCTACCGACAAATTAATGCCAAGTTTTCAACCGAGGATGGACGTGTGCCACTACGGACTTGCCGATGACACCTGCGGATACGAATGTCAGGAATGCACGGGGTACGGCGACCCCGTAGTAGGCATCCAGGTCTCCAGATCATTATTTACTAGTATCCTCCTTAGCTTATATTATTCATTTTTAATTTATTACGATCGATCGCTCAGATACGTGGGTTCTAGACACATTCAAAGGGACGTGTTTCATAGATAAAATATTACTTATTCAGGAGTAATGTGGTACCCGAACACGATACGGGCTCGCGAATTCCCCAGTTCGACAGTACCTTACATGCAGGTGGTGCGAAAGAAGAAACCACACAGAGGCATGGATAAGAAGTATCCAATTAAAAACCCTAGAGACGATGAATAAGATAAAATAAAAAAAGGAAAAGGAAAGGAAAAATGGGAGGAGGGGATGCACGGAATTTCGGAAAAGAGCGAGTCGATTAAGATTCTGATAGGGCCTGAATTCCAAGGGCGAGTGTATGAAATGCTTGCTAGAGGTTAGTAGTTGTGGAGGCTTTGACAAAAGTTTGGGTGGCCGTGGAGTGGATCGCAGATGGGGTTCCCTTATTACCATTTTAGGTAATCATCGGGGAGGATTTGGGTATCGAGCATCTCCGAATAATACTGTATTATTTGGGGTTGTAACGATTACTCCCTATGAGTGTAAGTAGATAAGCACATACACAATCTGATCAGAAGATTGGTGACTGATTCAGGAAAGAGGCAAGAAGAAGAAAAAGAATGCATTGAACGGACGAATAACTATTTACAGTATCGTGTAGGGGAAATCGAATGGAAACAACCAAACACAATAATCGACAGATTATTTTCTGATAAGGGAAAAGGGAAAAAAAGTAATGAAAGGAAAAAATGAGCATATGAATCTATCCTTACGATATTATTCGTGAGCAGATCACTTCAAAATGAGAATGACCTAAAGAAATAAAGAAAAAGGGAAAAAGAAAATGAGAAAGAAAAAGAAAATCAAATTAGAATAAGGAAAAAGAAAAAGTAAAAAAATTCCCAAGCAACAGAAAGCTGTCCTGCAAGTGAACCCTCCGGCTGGCAGTGCAAAATGGATGATGCATGATGGCTAGTGGTAATACTTATTTTCGTACACTGACTTGACCCGACTAGCAGTACGGCGTATCGAGGTGCTAATAATACCACATACCTGACCTACTCCTACCACTGGGTTCAGGCCCGGTTCACTGCCTGCCCCTGCTCGCCCGGCATCTCCACCTTTGCAGTTCTACTTTGCCTACTAGCAGCGTTACCCCTGTTCCTTTTTTCTTTTTTCCCTTTTCTTTTCTTTCCTTTTCTTTTTATTTTTCAAAATTATTTTAATTATTTTCTTTTTTTTTCAGTCCTCCACTCAGGTTAGTTAGTGGTTAGTTAGTGGTCCTTTCCTCCCCACCACCCACCACCCACTAACCATCATCATCATCACCACCACCATCATCATCGGCATCACTCACCCACACCCACAACCCACCCCAGTCCGTTTGGAACCGCGCTAAACACTAGGCTCTACTGCTCCCCTGTCGCGATGGTGCACGCAACCCCCCCGCCCCAGTACTATCTAGTCGGGCGATGGGCTCGACTCTTACTTTTTAGTGTGGTTTTTTCTTAGTTCGTCCGTAGTTGGTCAATCCCAGTCCAGTCCACTGAATATCCACTCCGTAAAGTCCTACACTGCGCGACTCATAGGGCCAGCAATCATATAACATTTATCTATGCTTTTACTCCCTCCCTTCCCCCTCCATCTGATCTTCCTCTTCCATCCTCATTCCACATTCCTCTTTCTCCCTCACATACGGGTCGGGCCTTGGTGAAGCTGTCAGCGAGACAACTCTCCCATTACCATTACAAAAGGGAATCCTTACCTACTTTGTTCCTCCTCTTCTACCTCTGCACTGCCCTCTCCTTCTTCCTCAACGCAGTGTCCCACCGACCTTCTTTTATATTTACGTTTCCAAGACCCCATTGCTTCGCATCTCATCATCCATCTTCTGCTGCTTGCGGTGTTAAACTTTTGCTGCCTCTTCTGCCTTCTCAGCGCCCCAAGATTCGGATCTGCAAGTGACAACACACTTCGTCGCCTTGCAGTTGGTACATTCAAACCCCGAGCTTTAGACACGTTCTTCGAAAGCTCCCTCTTTTGACCTCTTTGGGAAATTCCCCGAACCTCGTTTGGAGCTTGCTCGTCTCGTCACTACTAGGCTCCCGCTAAATACCAAGACTATCAAGCCATAGTAGGTTCCCCGAGCGGGCCGTTCCCAATCTTTGAACTCAATAACATTCTCTCCCAAGCCCTCGGGTCCAGGGGAGCCTTGCCGGACATTAATTCCATGCCATTGATTGAGACATCAGATTGCTAACGCTCATCATCTTGCAGATCGGTTGCATCCCTCTTCTTTCTTCTACATTAACCCTCGCATCCTCCCACCTGGAAGCCAAGAGACGAGCCAACCACTGCACGGAGCGTGGGCATGCAATCTCACGCAGACAACTCCGATTTCGTACTATTCCCTACCCACTTCACCGGTGACAACAAAATGCTGGCTTTGGATTCGTCCAGACAGCAGCAGCATCCCCCATACTTCCAATCCTACCCCATGGATCCTAGCACCTTTATCGATCCTCTTGCCTTCCATGTGGACGATCTAGGTTTCAGCCAGACCCACGACCCATCCGGTGTACCGCAGTCCTCCAACTACGGTACGCCGCCTGTCTACTCGGAGTCTTACTCGGACTCCAATAAAGCTGCCGGATTTCCACCCATGCCCGCCACTCCCCCGTCCCTGCCTTATATTCTGACCACTTCATTCCTGGACTTTCTACTGCGTCTGGTCCCTCGGTTGCAAGCGCCTCCTCCTCCGCCATCGGATCGCCCAATACGGGTTCTGCGCATGTCATCTCGGAAGACTGGGTCCAGACAACGAATGGCTTGGGGCTTCCCGCTGCGGTCATGAGTGACTTATTCCCCAATGAGTATTTTGGCAACACACTGGACTCAGAGGGTTTCTATCAACAAAAGTGCCCAGAAAGCTTTGTTGGTGGGTTACATCGTCCGATACACTGTCCTTCGGCCCCTGCTGACCACTAGATTACCTCAGACCCGTCTGTTATCCAGCCAATGCTACAGCAACATCCCATCCACCCGCCCACCATCTCATTCCCGGAACAGCCTGATTATGTCGTATCGCAAAGCGCGTTCCTTCCCCAGTCCCCTGACCCTTCCCACCTCCATCCTTCGGAGAGCTACGGTGCGAACCAACCGTTCGCACAGCACCCCAATGTTGTGCCGACCTCTTCCCCTTCCATGGCTCCTGCCCTTCCCCAGTCAAGACCACCTTCCTCCTATGACCGGAGGTCTTCAGTTTCGTCGGTTCAGTCCCAGCGCTCTCATCCGAGCCCGGCTGCCAGTATCGCAGAGTCCGACGATGACACCAAAGAAAAGGGCCGATGCCCTTTCCCGGAGTGCAGACGTGTCTTCAAGGACCTCAAGGCTCATATTCTGACACACCAGTCAGAGAGGCCCGAAAAATGCCCCATTGTCACCTGCGAATACCATATCAAGGGGTTCGCACGCAAGTATGACAAGAACCGTCATACTCTTACTCACTACAAAGGAACGATGGTTTGCGGTTTCTGCCCGGGGTCTGGGTCACCCGCGGAAAAGAGCTTTAACAGGGCGGACGTCTTCAAGCGCCACTTGACATCTGTGCATGGTGTCGAACAGACACCACCCAACTGCCGGAAGAGGAGCCCAGCTGCAGCGGCAAGCAAGGGAGCATCTAACTACAGCCCCGATGCGACCGGCAAGTGCTCAACTTGTTCCGTTACGTTCAGCAACGCCCAGGACTTCTACGAGCATCTGGACGACTGTGTGCTTCGGGTTGTCCAACAGGAAGAGCCCAGCGAAGCCATCAACCAGAAGCTGCTTTCCGAAGTCGATGCGGATGAGGAGGTGCAAAAGACGATGGAGAAACACAACTTGAACGACACGGCTGGCACCGTCGACATATACAATGACGAATATGATGATGACGATGATGACGCTTACGAATATTCGAACCTGCGCTCGGGCAAAGGCTCCCTGAAGAGCACCAAGGGATCAGGGGCGGTGGCCCGTCCTATCTTGGGCGTCAACAACGCTGTCACGAAGGGTTCGTCCAATGCCAATGCTAAGATGCGTGCAACTACATCCAAGCGACGAAACAACCGCGATCGTTACCCCCAGTCCTGGGGTTGCCCTAGCAGCAGCATCAAAACGAAGAAGCGTGTCCTCTGTGTCTTTGATGGACAGCGCCGTCTGTGGAAGGACGAGATGATGCTCGACAATGAGTTCGAAGTCCGCGTCAAGCTTCCGGGTGGTGCAGGGGATGGCACTAACCGCGAGGCTTACGTGACTGACTTGGATGTCGAGACACTGAAGCGTGCGGAGGGTGTTCTCAGTGCCAATGACGAAGAACGCGGCCCTTGGGTCGACAATCAGTCCACCCAGCTCATTGGACAACCGGCTGTTTTGCTGCCTGATACGTACCGGCCGCATGACGCTGAGCCCATGGATATGACCTACTAAGTCCGGAGGAAGACAGGACTCCATTCCCATCCATTCCCCCTCTTTTGTTCGATTCTGACTGTCATATTTTGCATATCGTGGGTTTTGCATCTGTGGCATGACGAGAGCGATTTTTTTTTTTTTTTGTGTTCGACCAGTTTTACCTTGATACCACCACTCTGCAGATCTTTCTTGTTCTATTGATGGGCACCCATGGAGGCTGCGCCCGTGGTCCTGTAATAATATCCCCCATGTTTACTTCTGGTTTTGGTTATGGATTGGGCGTTTGGGAAACTAAAACGAGATTATCTTGGAATGCAGGCCATAACCTACTTCAAAATGGGAAGGTATATTCTCCAGAATGTAAGATTCGCAATTGAGCAAGCATATCTATCGTTGTTTCTATTTGAGCAGCGTGAACAAGGTTTCAGCAGTAGATCTATCTAGTATCTATCTTTTTATCCGTAGTCGGGCCGGCCAGCGATCGGAGTCTTCTGCCCGCCTTTTGCCCCACACTTTCCCCTTCCCGCGGATGTCGCATGGCAGATTGCCTTCCTGATCAACAACCCAGATCACACACACGCCCTCGCAACATGCAGTTGGGTCTCTCGGAAAGCCTGTCTTCCCTGGTAAGCAGGCGATTCGTCGCTGCCAGGGATGCTGGTCATTTAATCTTCTCTTCGACGCATCTTGCGACCGTCCACACATCAAGCATACCGGTAACTAAGCCACCCCATCCATCCCCGCACCACACACACGTTCTCTCGGTCACTGTCCGTTCTACTGTCTCCGACTCCAGCTTACTGACTTTTCTCTCTTGTGCTGTCTAGTATCAAGTTCGCTATTGCCCAGCTCTTGCGAAGAAACCAACAGGCGCCCCTAAACCTGACAAGGCCCCCAGTGGCCCGAAACCCGATCCCTTCCAAGATCCGTCTCCCGACCTTCTCCTCGCTCAGATCCCTCGTGAGAACCCGTCACACGTGCTGGTCCTGAACAAATTCCCTGTAATACCGAATCACTTCATTCTTGCTACGAAGGCGTGGCAGTCGCAGACAGACCTCCTCGACAAGGAAGACCTGGAAGCCGCATATGCCTGTATCAAAGCATGGGCCGAGGGAAGTCAGCCGGAGTGCCAAGGGAGCAAGAAACTCTTTGCCTTCTTCAATTCTGGTGACGAGAGCGGTGCAAGTCAACCCCACAGACATCTACAGTTTCTTCCCGTCGAAGCCATGGCACAAGGTGACGCTGGAAACTGGCAGCCCCTGATTGACGCGGTGGCCCGGCAGCCTACATCCAGCGGGACTGGTTACCAACATTTGGCTCAGGTGCCTTTTGCGCATTTTGCTCGTCCCTTGCCACCAAACCCCTCTAGTGAGACTCTCCATCAGATCTACCTGTCTCTGTACAGAGCGGCAGTAGCAACGGCCAAGGGGGGTCTCAGTGACGCCAGCCAAGTCACGGGTCCTGCCGCCATTAGCTACAATCTTGCTATGACCGAGACATCCATGATGATCTGCCCGAGGCGGAGTGAAAGTGTTCGGATTACGGTTGACTCGACAGCAGCTGTAGATGTTGCTGAGGCGGGCGTTGTCGCACTTAACGGCACAGTCCTTGCTGGTACCCTGATGGTCAAGGCTGAGGCCGAATGGGACGAGTTGCGTCGGAACCCTACTTCGCTACATAATGTGCTTGCAGCTATTGGATACCCTCAGCCAGATGCGCGGGAAGTTTCTTTGTTGTAGATCGATATGAGCAGAGACATGACTTGATTAGATATTTTGCATGATAGGTATATTGAATAGAAGTAATTGAGCGTCTTTGCGGCAGACATGTAGCAGGACTACGCATAGCAATCAGCAATCCTCGGCCTGTATGGTTTCATATTGAACGGCCATCGAACAAGCGTGTCTCAGTAGGAGCTGCTACTTAGCGGAGCCCGACTAAGCTTAAGGGTAGACAACCCGCCACGGACGTATCAGCTTACACATACAGACCAACTAACTAGTACTACTAGTAGTACTACTTAACAGAGAAGTATCGGTTAGAAAGAAGCTAATCACGTGGCGAGGCAGTAGCTGGAAGTTGCGATGGCAGCTTCTTCTTTAGTTTCCTGCCACTTCCCTCCTGGATTCCGTTGACAACCCCTCAAACTGACCATGATTGTATGCTCAACCCACAACACTCCCAGTTCTATCGGACCAAGTGAATTCTATTTCCCTAAGAGAGTAGACAACGAAATGGAGACAACACAACTAGCCCTTGCCTATCCCCGATTCTGCTTCAATATTGCCCTCCCCACTCTTCATTTGTTCACTGATCGCTCCCTCACAATGAGTGTTTCTTGATTGCAAGTCCATTTGACACTGAAAATGCTCTCAACCGACGGAGTTTATTGGGAATATTTGGCAACCCATTATAACTCTTCCCACTCCAGTCAACCTTACATCTTCACGCCATGGACTTCGCACCACTTCTTCTTGCAGGTAGCATTTCCAAAATGATAGGTTCCCCCATGGGCTCTGATATACTGAGCCACCCTCTTCCATGAAACCTTTGGCAATTGTTTGTCAATGCGAGCCCAGCAGAAGGAGTGATGGCTATTGTCATGGCCCGTGGTTTCTGACAACACGTTAACCGCCTCACAGAGAAGGCGAATCTACCGTGAGTCAGTACCAGCTTCATGCACACCTAGGCGGATAATGAAAGCAACCGGGATAGGTGACTTACGTCGTTTTGGTGCCATTGTGGCTTCCTCACGCGTTGCTCTTTAGACTTTGTCAACGTGCGGAATCTGCCACGGAGAGTCGACTCGGCCTCCTTGAACCCGCCAATCCTTTTTATATCTTTATATGACAACCCACGGAGCTTACAGTCGATTAAGAATGCGTTTCTCTTGTCGCGGAGGCACGTAAGTGGCCTGCCAAGTAGTTTCCCCTGGTTAACATGGCTTATGTCACTGGAACTCGGTAGCGTCCAAGGCTCGTTAACTCTATACCGGCTCTCATGGTATAGATAGGAACTGGTGATAGGGAATGATTCATTACACCTTTGGTTGGCTGCGCATCCACTTCCGATCGAAAGCATGGCTGGGCAATCAGCCCTTGGGGAGCCCCATGGGAGGAGTAGAGTCTGGGCAGCGCTTGAACCGTCATCTTCAAATGTGGACGGATCCAGATTAATGTTCGCTGCCGCAAGCTGAGCCAGTGCGCTGTTGATTTCTCCGTAGAATTGCGCCTTGTTCGACAGGTTCCCTGCGTCCCATATGGATAGACCAGAACTAGTGTCTTCACTGGATGAGTGCGATAACTGATGAACCTGCGCAGCTGGCAAAGGAAGTGATGTGCTAGCTGCATCAAGAATACTATCTGCAGCTGGTGCTGGAATCTCGAGTGACGAACTTGGGGACTCAGATAGTGCTACTTCTTCCACGCTTGCCCACTCTCCCTCAAGAAGAGGCGCACTGTCCTGAGATATGCATTCATCGAGGATGGTTATGGGTGCCCTGAGTGGTGATTCCCCCTCCGCCATAAGGATTGGGACGGGCTCGCTGATCGCAAAATGATCATTCATATCATCGGCCTGGTGGTTTATATCAGAAGCAGCATCGCTGGAATAGAGATTGTCGTCGGCGAATGATGTCTGTGGGACGTGTGGGTGGGCATCAAGGATCTCGAACTGACAGCCATCCTCAACTTTGATGAAGTGCACTATCTCCTGCGGCTTGTTGTGATGAGTCTGCTCTTCAGGTAGAAACTGAAGCCCGTGTGCTGCTGCTGCGGTTCTTCCGGGTTCGAAGAATGAGTAACAGTTGGGAAAACAATAAGGGCACCCTATCTGGGGCAAGTCTCGCATTGTCATGTCGTTGCTCGTCATCTTGATGAAATGTGTATGCAGTTGCTCGTCGTTCTCCATGAGTTGATGTGTCTGTTCGCCTTCAAGGTGTATCACAGAGAGCTCTGAGGTGGTGTCTTGCCAGGTAGAAGGTCTTCCATGGAAGAGTGACTCGCGGTTGTCTAGGAAGAAGAGATGGGAATCAAAGTCCAACACATTTAGGCTTTCCTTAACGGCAACTGCCTTTCGGTCTCTTGAAGCGATCAGGACGCGCAGCATGGCTTTAAACAGAGACCAATATCTTCTTGCTCGCTTCACCGCTACTGTCCCCTACGCTCTGGATAGACGTTGGGCAAATACTATGCATTGGATCCTGGTGTCAGGTTATGCACGCTGTCAGGCTACTAGGGCACCTGCAGGGACTGTTGTGGCTGCTCAGTACACCAAGATCTATATGGAGGGGTTTCACTTTCCTCGGATGACTCACCAATAAGGGCTGAGTGTTGATGACTCTGCGATTGTTTGATTTTCCAAATTGGGTTGCAAGGAACCAATGACCGAAGGTCTCAAGATCAGACGGGCTTTCCCTGAAGGCAACACGACTGAGCGGTGGAGGAAGTAATGGGCACAAGGCGCCTCTGACGGTATGGTTCCCGCCTTCTCTGCAGTTGCTCGACGACCGAAGAGTGATGCTTCTTCTTGTCCGCCACAGATGGAATGGCAATGATGTCTCAGAAGTCTAGCCTCTTAGGCAACAGTTGTCATTCGAGAAGTAGCTGGACAGGGTTCATGGAACTCACGGTTCGCTCTATGAGAGGTGATGTCTTTTTCAACGGAGGATGTAGAAGGCTGTCTCAGTCCCCAAGGAAAGGTAACGACACAACACCGCGCTCGAGGACAAGAGAAATCTGACTCGAGAACACCGGAGCTTTTCAACATGAATATAAAGCCATATTGATGACCTTTCACGCCCTCGCGCATTAGGCCCCTGAATTACATGGCTACCATGTTCCGATATGGCTTGAGCTGTTCGCATCGCCGGGAGCTTAACCCTTGTTCTTTCCAAGATTATATCGGCCTGAACGCTACAAAATGCCGATCGAGGCACTATACCCTTTTCTGTACAAATAAGGCATGGGGATTACGGAACAAGATCAGTTATGGCACATGGTTCGGTTTAGCATAATCTCCCAAACTTCCATACCGATCAGTCAAACTTTTCTTTTGTAGTTTGCCGCACATGGTCCGAATGGCGATCCTTGAAAGAAGAGCCATCTTCTGTGGCGCAGAAGATGAACTCTGGGAAAGGAGAACTCAATGTCCTGGTGTTCAGACGAAGTTGAACTGGTGTGGTTGTTTTGCAGTGGACGCCAATCGGGTAGCCACATAGGGCTTTGTTCGCACATCCGCTTTATCCTACCATCCTCAGGCGATGCGGTGGCTGCGACCTCATACCAAAGAACCCAGAACACTTATTACCTCCAGAAAATGGGACGTTTGGCCGGACGGTTCGGAAAGCTCCCGTTCGGATCTGCAGGTGTGGTTTTCTCCGCCATTGGCTTGACTGACATGCTTTATCTGACTGCTTTCTTTTGCCCTAACAGCTGCGGACCTTTTTAACCCGCGCTACCGCACAAGCCGGAATCAAACTGCATATGCAGATCATTCCCATCATTCGGGTATCCACCAGAGCTCAGACAACTGCACGCTACTTAAGGCCTATGTATTCTGAGGATCAAAAGTGCCGCAGAAGCTGTTCCCATGAGGACCAATAACAAGGGAGCAAGTAGAAAGTTGGAAGGAGAAGCGTCCGTGTTGGTCCTGCACGATAAGGTTTTCCGATTCACCGCTTGATTCCATCCAAATACATTGCACTCCATCTTTCACCGGGTCCTGCCAGCCCCAAACGCTTCTGCATCCGTCATTGTGCAAATCAGACGTGCCCATCTGTCATGGCGAAGCAGTGGGCGCAAATGTCGGTCGGAGATTAAGCTTAACCCGCTATTCAAGCCAAATGTCGGATGGGTCACCGGTTTGCTCCCTAGATTCCAGGGAAGTGAAGTCCAGCTTGAGAGGTCGATCGGATCTGCATGAGCCATTTCTTCCAGACATCCAACCTGGTGACAGGGTACTTCTGGAACTTACATCATACGGCACCTACAGAATCATTTCTTTTTCTCATCTCACGGTACTTTCTGGCCTCACTTCCACCACTGTCGTCTCGCACAATGCAAGACAAGGCAAACAATCCCTGATCAAGAACAAAAGAAAAAGCAAAGACAAACCGCACTCAACCCCCCTGATCCCTACCAGGATCAGATTTTTTTCCCCGCACGATCGTTGTTTCGCTCCGTGTGGCTCATTGCAGATCTATCATGTACACTGTATGTTTGCACCTGCTGTAAATCCTATGTATAGCCTGTGTGGGTCTTCCTCCCCCGGACACCATCCCCAAGCATGTGCACATATAGACGCGTACATGTATGTATGTATGTATGTGTGCACGGGCTGCGAATGGGCTTTTTGTGACTTACCGGCGGTTGGGGATGGAATGGGGTGGTGACAGAACTAATCTCCTCCATAGACAGGGGGGCCTACTAGCCTGCCTCAAGGTAAACACAAGAAAGAAGGAAAGATAGAAAGTACTGATCTGGTCTGGCCTAGCCTGACGCACTGGATCTTTTGAGAGTTGCACACACCTTCCCTGCGGGAATCCCGGATGTTGGGTAGAAACGGTGACACCGTCGGGATGAGCATGTTTCACGGGTTTCACTACACCCTTTCCTTTTCGCCGAGAGACTAGACCAGTCTAGCACGGTCCACTCACCATGTATCCTTGAGGAACAAACCGGAAAAACAAAAAATAGAAGAAGAAAATCATTAAGGAGACACAACGCGTGGGATGGTGGCGGTAGGGATCTGAGCGTCCCCCATTGATGATGACAATAACGGGACTATTCCACACCCCTCTGCAAATTCCCGAGAGGAGCATGCAGAAGATTAGCTCAGATTGACGGAGGTTGAGCCTGAAGAAATTCGGAGAAATAACAGAAATAACTACGGTGGGGACTGTTGGTGCTAAGGAAGCAGGTAGGGAAGGAAGACGGCAGTAGTCTTTCTCTAATGTCTGTTCCCGCTGCAGCTGCCGTCGTTCCGGTTTGCTGACGACGGGCCTTCCTGCTGCTGCTGCTACTGCTGCTGGCTTGCGGCAATGGCGTGTCTGTCTTCTTTCAAATCTGTTTTCCAAATTCACGTTCATTGCATGAATCATGACTATAGTCTGCTCGCAGTTTTGCTTTTTCCTGCTTTTTGCTGTACATGTCCTCAGCAAACCCGGGCTGGTCGAGGCGTGAATGGAGGTATTCCTTCCTACTGGGAGCTCGGGAACTGATTTGTTTTCTCCACATGTATGTATGCTAGAACCCTGCGCGGGTGTCGGTAGATGACAGTTCCATCCCTCAACAGCCAGGCCATCCATTGCCCTACGCAAAGTGGATAGATGGTTAGATCGTCGCAGGCCCCCGCTGGCCGCCCTTCTTCCGGCCCTTGGCATAAGGATATGATTGTACAGGGGATGACGGTTCATGCAGGAATGATAGTAAGTAAAGAATGGGGTCCGCCAGGGTAATTTCAGGGTACTTCGCTTTCCTGCGTGCGTCCGCCGTAGCTCTGGTACCGGTCCAAGAGCCGGTCCATCAGCAGCACTGTGACTTTCGTCAGCAGATGGATCCAAGCATCCCTTCCATCCCCAATGCATGGCTGGTAGCTCACCCATGAACAATGTAAGAGTAAACGCATATAATATGGCGGGGGATGTCATGAAAGAATAGACGAGCGGAAAGTGACGAGAGAAACTCATTAGGCTTCCAAGGAGCATACCAAGAGATACGCGGGCCGCTGCGCTGATGCCCATACATCTGCGGAGCGTGTGGCGACGCGCTAATAATACAAAAGCACCAAAGAACATCATGGAGAGTGACGCCACGGCAAAATAGTACACATAGACGAATTCTAGGAGGGCCATATACCCTCTCAGCAGCTGCTCACTACTCAAGCGGCCAGGATCAGGGTGGTTCGAAGGCATGATCCGCATGGTGGAGAACAGCGCCGCAGTTACATTCCCTACCAGGTCACTGAGCATGTCTCGGGCGATGGGGACTTGGCCCGTCCGACGGGAGGGACAAAGCGGGTGATTGGGGAGATCATCCAAGATCTGGGAGATTGTAACCTGTTCGTTTACGGCCCCTCGGCTATAGTCGATTTCCATATCAGCAATGGTGGCTCGAAGAATTCGGATGGCGTAGTCGGGTCTGGGCCGTGGGTCTTCACAAGCCCACAAAATGGTTTCCGCCAGGTACCGGAGTTTCAATGTGATATCCAGACTTAAGGCAAGGATCTGAGACCCTTCAAGGAGGAGAATGAGGACCACATGGAACGGGAAATGTAGCTGGGCCCATATTTGCTGAGAGTACTTGCCCAGAACACGTCTCGGAGAAAGGTCGAAGTACGCTTGCCACAAGAAGTACTGAGATTGACATGTTAGGATTCCGATTAGAAACGAACTGAACAGTGGGTCAGTCAATTATTGGGGCCATACCACACTAGTTGTGACGCCTAGGATATGGACAAACGACCACTTCGTCCAGCCACCAGGGCCTACTGTCCGGTTGACGAGCCTAGTGACTGATATGACACCTTCACCGATTATGATCAGAGTTAGGAGGCCCATTCTTGTGTTGAGATGGGTATCTTGAAGTCCAATCCCAGGTGTGGCGCTTGAGGTTCCCATTACTACCCACATCTCGACCCCAAATAGAACAAACCAAACGGTCCAAATATAGGGGTTGACTCCCTCACGGGGACGGAAGGCATAATACATCTACAGAAAGTCAGCTTGGCAAAGGTACGAGCTAACCGATGGTTGTCTGCCTTGGGTAGCTTACCAGGAGGTAGGTCAAACTTGAAACGAATTGCATCCCGGCAATAATGGATACGCCCCGAGCTGCAGGTATCATACGCCGTCGAAGAAACACGGCATTGACAGTGTATTGCAAGGCGAGTAAGAGCCGACTACCACCGAGGATAAGGCTCAGGGACTGGAAGGCCCAGACATTTTCTGGCTGAACACGTGTGGTGAACCTTGAACCTGCTGATGCAAATCCAACCATAGCAGCCAATTGAAGGGCCTTGCAAATTCTCTCGAAGATCGAGTCTCGCGCGAAACGGATATCAAATAGTGTGACTTGAAGCCAGGTAAACCAGATGATCCCGAGGAAGCCAATGTAGGCCCACAAAGCTGGCATGCGGCATCAGATTGTGATCAAACCATGTTGGAGAGCTGGTATACCTTCTACGTTGTTGATTTCATGTGTGGCTGTGAAGGTGGAGAGATTCGCGACGAAGAACAAGTCAAAGAACAGCTCGATGGGTGTTGCCTCGGATTGTTGACGGAGATGCGGAAGATCTCCATCCTTCTCGTCAATTGGCGACTCAATGAACGCAATGACACTACGCTGCCTATTGAAGTTAAGAAATTCACTCAAATACCATCTCCCCTAACCGAAAGTCCAACTTACTGCGTGGCTGCTCTGGCACGCCTATCTCTACTCGACGGATGGTCAAACCAGGACTTGAAGGGGATTGGTATCATAGTAATGGGGCCTTGAAGAAACTAGACAACTAAACGATGGGTATCATGAAATATAGAGTAAGAACAGTCCTGGTCGGTGGCCGTCAAGACATTGGCGCAGTCGATCGGTTTCGATACGAAGAGCAACTGGTGTTGTCTCGGAAAGAGCGATGGTGATGCTCTTGGACAGGGACTTCAAAGAGGCAGCCACAGCAGACCGTGCGGAAGGCGTCAATGAAGCATATTTGAAGCATCAAGGCTCCTCATGCTCAGAGTTGTTTGCAGATGCTGTCACCGAATTTCCAAGACCCTCCAAGCCTCGCGAATTCGCCATCTCATCGGCCGTAGAGAGGTTCCCATCCGAGCCAGGAGTGATCCCAGCCTCCTGCTTAAGCTTCTCGTAATTATCTCCGGCTTCTTTGATCAAAGCCTGGATTTCCACTTCCCGAACAGCTATGTCCGCCTTCTCTTTCCTCAATTCCTCCATGCGGTCGATCATCTGAGCCTTTGATTTCTCTAGGACTGCCAAGTTCATACGCAAACGCTCGAGTGAGTTCGACAGACGGGGTAACGAGGTCATCTTTGGCGGAGTGCGCGGACGGTCGATAGGGTCTCTGCTCGCACCCATAGCAGCTCGTGCCTGACTGGCGTCGTACGCTGCTTTTTCCTCCAAGTCCGAATCATCTTCATCCGACAGACCTTCAGCATCATCAATAAGTTCACGCATTTCTTCCCGCTGTTTTCGTTTTTGCTCTTTCTCTGCTTTCCTCCCAAGGGATATACGTCCGTCCTCAACAAATTCGTCAAATCCTTCTGCGAAATCTTCATCGTCACGAACGAGCCTCGTATCCTCTCGCCGCGCCTGAAGATCCCAGTCGTCCTCTTCCATATCATCCTCGAGGGAAATGAAATCTTTCTCCGTGGAAAGCGCCGCCTCTTCCTTCGCTAATCGGGCTCTCCGAGCTTTCTTTTCTCTAATCTCTGCTTCGCTGGGAATAGCAGCAGGAGTTGAAACCTTCATGACCTCACCAAACTTGGCAGCCACATCAATTGTCTTCTCCGATTCATCCTCAGCTGCGGGCTTCGGCGTAGAGGGGGTCGAATTTCGGAGCTCTTTTAGATATTCGTCGTTGTAACTCGGCCTATCCTGCTCAGGCCCTACCCGGAGGGGGATCTGACCACCTACGCCTGACGGTGTCAAGGATCGCTGAAATGCACTCTTCTCTATAGCCCGTTTCGCGAGCCCAGGTCGTTTGGGAATGACAACTTCGCTTTCCTGGTCGTCATCGTCCGCCATCGAGGTACTGCCGGGGCCGAAGGAAAGGCGCATCTTCGACTTTTGCTTCGTTTTTGAAGTCGGAGGACGTTTGACAACAGGGCCAGAGTCTATCAGCCTTCCATTAGTATATGCAGCACGTAGAGTTGAGCTTGATCGCAGATACCAACCTTGCTCGTCGGCGTCATTTTCCTCATCATCGCCACCAATTTTGCGGGGCTTTCGGCGATTTGCAAATTGAGAACTCATTGTCAAAGCGTATGAAGAAGCCTAATAATCTCCTTGTCCAAACCGAGTTCCCAGCTATAAAATCAGCCAAAAGCCTGAAAGATGAAACCCCGCTGGCGTCACTTGCAGCTCCGCGATTCTTTGGAGCTTGCGGGAACATCATTCTTCCGGGCCCAGCTGATTCCCACTGCTTGTATCTCAAAGTTCCGCAACGCGCCCGACTCGCCATTACGATAGGACAGTTAGACCCCAGAACACACCATTCAAGATGCCTCAAGCCCAGCCCGAGTTGAAGAAGGTATATTATTCGCGATTGATTTTCCGCCTACCTTCCCCCGCTACAGAGCACCGAAGCTAACATTGCGGTCTTCCAACAGTACATGGAAAAGCGGGTATTCTGCCAACTGAACGGCAACCGCAAAGTCATTGGTATCCTGCGAGGCTATGATGTACGTCGCGCCTGTGTCCCTCGGTTCCTACTCTCCTGTCTGCTGTGTCGCTGTCAATACGGGTTGATGTGCCTTGGATGGGGTCGAATATCGGTGATATTCTTGGTTCAATCCATGGAGTGAAAGAGGGGGCGGGGAGAGAGTGTGTATGTGTGTTTGCAGATTACTGACGTCTGCGCTTTTATTATCCAGGTGTTCATGAACATCGTCCTTGATGAGGCTTTCGAGGAGAAGCAGGGTGGAGAGAAGGTCGCTATCGGCATGATTGTATGTGATGATTCCCATTCCCGGACGTTCACGTTTGCCTTGGAAACTAGGAGGGGCAGGAAGCTAATGACGGTCTTTTCGTCTGTCTAGGTCATTCGCGGTAACTCGGTTGTTATGCTCGAGGTCAGTATCACCTGCCATAGGACCACGTTTAGTGGTGTACTTTATCAGGAGACTAATCTGCTGTTCTTTATAGGCCCTGGAACGTATCAGCGACAAATAAAGTGCTGCGGGTGGACGGGGAAAGTCAACATGTCTTTTTATACCTTCACTGTGGGAAATGATTTAATTGCAAAGGAGTTCACGGGTTGGTTGCTCACGGAATGATCGATGGCATCTCGCTTTCAAAAGGAAACAGAAAAGAAATCTTCATTTCAAACAATTTACGAGAAACACTTTACGCAACAAGAGATCTGGAATATACCAGATTACGGCATCTTGCTTAAGAGGGAGATGGGTGCATTGTCCCAACGCAATGATCCATGACAGCTAGTCAGTTATGGTCTATCATTTTTTTCTCGGCAAACCAATGCCCAACCTATCCCACCGGCAATAATCAAATGGGCCTTCTGGAACTAGATAATACCCTGTGGAGATAACCCAGAATACTAAAAAGAATAATAGAAAATAAAAAAAGAACCCCCACGCCATGCATCTCCTTGACCTGAAATCAGCCCACCGCCGTTCCCAAAGTCCAAACAATGAAGAATGAATGAAGCTATACGAGTTAAAATTGGTATCTAGAATTTTGTGTAATGAAGACGGCTGTGAGTAAAGTTGAGCTCATTTCGGCTTCTGCCCGAATTTCAATTTCAGCTTGAACCCACCGCCACTGGGCGTCGATGGGGTAGATGGTGCAGTCGTTGGCTTAGGCTGTGCTGACGAAGCTGGGGAGGGGAGGTTTGGAATGTGCAGCTTTGTTGGAATATGCTGCGATGATGGCTTTGGACTGAATGGTGTAGTACTGGATGCCACCTTGGACTGCTTGAATGTGATACGAGGGCCCGGTGGTCCCATGCCTTGCTCTTCGCGCTTGCGTTTCGGGGCGGCTGTTGTATCTTTTGAGGGAGTGAGTGTCGTGCGGATTTTGTTTGTTCGGACGAAGTGCATGCGTCCCTGGGTTGGGTTAGCAGGAACTCAGTAGTAATGCTGTTCTCCATGATACGTACCTTTCCGAGATGTTTCACGGTCCAGTAACGAGGGTATTTCAGGGACACCATCCGAGTCGTGATTGCGTCATAGAGAACCCTGCAAAGATCGGTAAACTCGGAGAGCTCGAGTATTCCAATACACGGAGAATTGCAAGCCGCCCAAAGAGATTTTTTCAGCAGTTGATCGCCGGAGATCTCCTTCTTGAGCGCATTCAAGGCTCCGGTAACTGTCTGTCTCCGGGCAAGGTCTGCCTGCCGGACCTCGGTTGAAGACTCCTGCTCGATAATTAGGTTATCGGTGTTGCTAGCAGGCGCTTCCTCCTTAGTTTCACGGCCAAAGGCGACTGGTGCGAGAGCCTTCCCGAACAGATTATGTAGGCGACACCTGATAAGGGCAGAAGAGTCGTTTGACATGGTGAAAATGAACCATCGCAGTAGTTCGGGGTATTGGAAGATGTCAAGCTCAATGAGGCATTCGAAGGCATCCAAGCGGAGGAGATCGTATGTTCCAGCTCGTGTATATGGCAGAAATTGCATGATATCGAGGCTCAATATTTTGGCCTCCATGAGACGCACTTGGCAGCGCAAAGCGGCGCGCGAGTAGATGTTCTGAAAAGAGCTGGACCATTCATCCATCCTGCGATACCTATCAATCTCTGCAATGGCGTCTTTCTCCAATTGTTCTTCTGCCTGAGCCTCCAATACACGCTCCATGTCAAAATCGTCCATCTCCTCGGAAGGTCTCTCAGGCTTGCCCAGCATGGCATGGCATAGCGATTCCATCAAGGTCGCGACATAGAAGTTGTCCGAATACTGTCGCAGCATAAGCGTCAGACCAATAAAATAATGAGTCACGTACTCACCTCGTTGTTTGAGTTGTCGTTGAACTTCAACTTGTCGTAAAGAAAACGCTTGACCCGCATGGGCGTTTTGCCGTTACTGTCGCGTACTTTGGATATGGACTCGGGGATGGCTAATTGAATAAAATATGCTGCTCTGTCAGAGAAGTCATTGGAGCGAGTCATTGGGGATCCTGGAAGGCAGAACAGTTCTTGGAAAGCTCTTTCAAGGTGGAATAATCCGACCCAGTCAACAGCTTCCGTAGCATGTTTCACCAGGGCTCGAGCCGCAGCCACCCGAATTCCGTAGAAATATCTTCGATCCATCAGTGTTCTGACGAATATGGTCGAAATGAGCTCGTGCTCTCGCTGGATCGCCATGTATTGCAATGACTGAATATCATATATTGTCAGTTCCAGTCCAATCACCTAATGAGTAAAGGGCTTGACTGACCTCCAGCTGCGCTACAACGTCTCGATCTTGCTGAAGCTGCGACAGGTACATGTACCCTGGCATCGCCAACGAAAGCTTACATATCCACTCAAAATCTGCATCCATGCGAATCCATTCATAGGACTCTCTGCTCATTCTCTCTTCCTCTTCTTCGCTCCAATCCCTTAGTTTCCATTCAGCGACCTCTTCTTCGGTCTGCAAAACGTCACCGAGACAGTAAAGCAGAACATCTTCCTGAGCTTCGGCATTAGGGTCGCCGCCTGTTACGGCAGCTGCACGCTCCTTTTGTCGCTTGTTTCGTTTGAGACGCTTGTACTTGGTATTATATGGTATGTCGAACTTCGTAACACCCTCCTTAATTTCCACGATGTGTTCATAAGGCGTGCCATCAGCTTCGTGGATTCTAATGGTCATGGATCCAGTAAAAACTGGCTGGATAACTCCTGCATAGACGCCCCGTATTTCTTCCTTGACATCCCGCATGAACGCATTCTTCTCCAAGTCGCGCGTACTTGAAGCATCAGCTTGCACCTGCCGGATCATCATTTCAACCACGAGCTTCTTCTTGTTGAATCGCTGCGTGGCTTGGAACCGAGGACATCCCGCCCCGTAAACCCACTGCTGGAAGAATGAATCAAGCTTTGCGTGGCCGAGTCGCTCACATGTCCTCTGGAAAAGGGAAGTCGTGACGGCACCATTCGGTATGTCGCCCATCCGGGAGTTCAGGAAAAGACGGGAGATGATGCGCGACATCGTTGCCTTGCCACTCGCTTTCGTAAGTCTCCGGTCCAAGATGAATAGAACCAGCGGGGCCTTGAGCGCTATGAAATCAATTTCAGACGGATCTATCGTCAATATCGTACCCATGTCGTAGAGCGACGGACGTTCGTAGTCCAGCTCACATACTCTATCAGACATCTGTTTCAATCGAAAGCGATATTCATTGTTCCCGCAGAGCTTCCGCATGAATGTATCCGTGATGTACCAGGCGACACCGACCGTGACCCATGTATCCGTTGCCTCTTTTGGCACGATGTTTACACCAATCCACTGACAGGATAGAGCGTGAACCAGACTGCGAGTAGAGTCATACATCGGGTCGATTATGTCTTCGGGGAACAAGAGGCGACTGCTACATATCGATAAACAAGCCGTGGGTAGTGTGGCATCAGGTGTGTCGTCCACAAAGCATATCTTATAGCTAGCGAACGGGTACGATCCATAGGACAGTGAGAAAAAGTCAATCGCCTTCGCCATAGGAAAGCAGGTATTCCTGACTTCATCTCCTCTTCCTGGGAGGCAGAATGCGTGCAACGGTATGGCGTTAAGTCCAAGCTGTTCGTCTTGGTCGCTTTCACGGAAATCGGAGAGGTTGATGTATTCGAAGGGACCTACGGCAAATCCAAGCTGCTGGGCAGAAAGAGGGGAGTAGCAGGCGAACGAAACCGTCTTCTTGGTAGGGTCCTTTGGGTCGATGATTTCATCCGTCAAATCCCCGGAACAGACGACAGACAAATCAAGAGTTTCATCATCCGGAGCGATATACCGTTCATGTCCAGAGGCAGGCTTCGAACGACTGGGACCCGAGGCACCGGAATGATCACGGGATTTACGATCAAACATATCACCTAAGGAGCACGGGCACTTGATCGAGAACTCCCACGTACAGCGCGACAAAGGATCGTCGACGCAGGGGAAGAGAGGACAGCAAGCGCCATACCCCAGGGAGTTGGTCGTATAAGCGTGAGGATAGCGTCTGTCGCCACTTTCTAATCCGACAAACTGCAACCCATCCCGGATATTCTCAATAACGAAGTCGATGGTAACCGTGAGGGCCGTAAAGCGTGGAAGTGACGATTCGGCTGCCTTGGCGCTCAAAGGTCCTTCTGCATCATCAGCGGAACCCGTAGCACGTAAAGTCATTTGGTCTTGAGCTTCAATCGAGGAGGGATCAAGTTCGTCGATCCTGACGCTCTTGGGGACCGTAATGAGAAGGTCAGATTCTGGCGGAGATTTGAGTAGTCCATCTATCTTCGTCGCGAGGCGCTGGTGATAATGAGGGCCGTAAAGTTGAAGTGTGTCATAAGGATCCGTGTATTTGATGCTAGGTACCTTGCCACTGACATTGATACGCCGGAGTTCGCCTTGTCGGAAATTCAAACGGATAACGCGAAGGTCTTTGTGATGCGGATGAATCGTGAGTTCCGTTTTTCCCTTGAGACTCTTGTTGGCAAAATCTATCTCAAGCTCGACCTTCTGATGCGCGACGGTGAATCCCAGCTCCGGCCTGACAGGCCCAGCTGGGGCTTCCACGACGCCTGGCATGGCGCAAGATACTCAGTCGTGCACTGCGCCGCGAGCGCCACGATGGCCAACTACCGTCATGTCCAAGCTCCAGGAGCGATGACTATTCCCACCCGACCGCGTTGATCCTGACAGACACTTCGAGTATGATGGCGTTCGATCTCGTGTAGACGGGGGCGAAGAGACTGATCACTGGGAAGAGATGGGAGCTGCTTCGACGGGCGGGGAACAACACCGAAGGGAAGCAAGCGTTCGAGGTGACCGTGACACTGAGTGAGGTTTGGCACGAAAGGACCGTTCGTGAGGACGGGGATGGGGAGGGATAGAGGAGAGACTGAAATGAGGAATAGCACGAGAGGAGATGGACGACCTGGGATCGTCCCTCCAACAACCATCAAAATGAACAATCGCTTTTCTATCTTTTTGCCTGTCGCGTTTCTCTTTGCGGTCGAAAGCTTCCCTGCGGAGCTGGCGCCGCCACGTGATTCCGATCCGCGGATGGCGCGAGGAGCCGCCCGTTCGTTCCTCTTTCGGTGCCGCATCGTCAACCGTTCGGGTCCCTTTTCTTCGAAACCCTTTTTAACCTTTTTTTAAAGCCTTGGATTCATTCCCCTCTCCCCTATACATCCCCCCTCCCTCTATCTTGCAGCATTCCGTTGTCTGTATTGCCTCCTCGTTTATATGCGATAGAGCGTTGACGTTGTCCGTTTGATTGCGCTTTGGTTTCCTTTCCCCATCCCCGTCTTGTCCGTCCAGTCGCATACCGCGCGATATGAGCCAAGTTTGATTTCAACCCCCCAGATAGTCTTTTCTTTTTCTCTGCCCCAACATTCCAGCTGTACATTCGAAATCAAGATGAGTGTAATATTCAAAAAGATCCAAGGTTCGTAATATCCTGCTGCAGCACTCATTCAGTCCAACGTAACTGTAGAGCTAATTCGCGTCGCGCATTGTATAGCGATCCAAGACTCGCTTTCCGACGACGTGCTCTTGCCCCTCAAGAGCTACAAGTACTCGAGTGTCGATAAATCCTATATTTCCAATTATATACTGAGGCATTACGTACTGCCGCCCTGGTCCGATCTATACTTCATACCCTGACGCTGACATGGGCGTGTTAGTGGAATGCATTCGTCGAAATCTTGCCGCTTTGGCTGGCCCCCAACATGGTTACTCTCTTGGGGTTTCTGTTCATCGTGGGCAATGTGATGCTCATAGAAGTCTATATGCCTGATCTCGTGGGACCTGTAAGATGACCCCAGAAGAGCTCTCTATAAGCACAGTGAGGCTAACTAGTTGTCGTTGTAGGCTCCTTCCTGGCTATACTATAGTTTCGCTCTGGGCATGTGGATGTGAGTATATGGCTACATGGTTGATGTGGTAAACCACTTCTAATCAAGTTTCAAGGTATTCGACGCTGGACAACGTCGATGGGAAACAGGCGCGCAGAACAGGGACATCCAGCGGTTTGGGAGAGCTGTTCGAGTAAGTGGCCATCGAAGCAGAGAATGAAAGGCTCTAACTCTCTCCAGCCACGGAATCGATTCTTTGAACTGCACTCTGGCTAGTCTTCTCGAGACTGCTGCCATGGGCTTCGGCTCTTCTCAGCTTGGTGCTTACACTGCTCTCGTCCCTTGCCTCGCAATGTACTTTTCGACCTGGGAAACCTACCATACCCATACACTCTACCTCGGCTACTTCAATGGGCCCACTGAAGGCCTTCTTATCGCGATCGCCATCATGATTGCCTCTGGCATCTATGGCCCTCAGATCTGGAGCCGACCGATCGTCGAATTCCTGAACTACCCGCAGATCTTTGGGAACAACTCGATGAAGGATCTCTGGGTCCCCATTCTTCTCCTCTCCTTCTTCCTCGGACACCTGCCAGGCTGCGTCCTGAATGTTATTGCTGCTCGTAGAAAGCAGAACCTTCCGGTCACGCCCGTCTTCAAGGAATGGGTACCGATGATTGTATTCACGGGCTGCAACATTGCTTGGCTTTTCTCTCCGTATTCGACGCTTTTGTCGGGGAACCGACTAGTCCTCTACTGCTGGACTATTTCGTTTGTCTTTGGACGCATGACGACTAAAATCATTCTCGCTCATCTGTTAAGGCAGCCATTTCCCCATTGGACGGTGCTGCAGATTCCGCTCATTGGCGGCGCAATCCTAGCCAACCTTCCCCGCCTGGGATTCCCTATGGTGAGCGCCTGGGTGGAGCTACTGTACCTGCGCCTCTACCTTGTGTTCGCCTTTGTTGTGTACATGCACTGGGCATTCCTCGTGATCAACAGGATCACCACTTTCCTCGGAATCAACTGTCTGACGATCCGTCGCGACAAGTCGGCAGCAAGAGACAGGGCTTATCGTGAATTTGGCGAGAACCAGCCCCTCAACCCAAACTCTGATCCCAGCAAGGGGGGTATCAAGAGCCATTGACTATCTTCCTATGATGCGTGTGAACAACGCATCTGATGGAATAACTACCTTTGTGTTCGCGATGTATAAAATGGCTGCCCAGTCTACGTTTTCTGTTGAATACTTTGGACCTTAGACTGCGCAACTGGAGTTGGCGAGAGCAGAAAACTCGGGGTTTTCTATGATAACCAGACCCGAGCTGCAGCATCATTTTCTTTTTCCTCACCTGCTGGTTATCTTGGCGACGTACATGTCCTCCCATATCTACGATTCTAATGTCCCCCCTTGGATTATGCCACCAGCATTCAGGCTGATGAACTTACGACATGAGTGGATGGATGACGCGGACGCAGAACAGTCGTCCCTAGTCAAGCTTTTTCCGGTATATAGTTCGATGATAGACAGTATAATAGCTCCTAATGAAATGATAGAGTTGTATAGAGTACAGAATATTGGTCTTGTACTGTAGCACTTTATACAGTAGACGCAGAGGCACCATTAACCGCAGAAAATGCGCATCATGTGAATGAAATGAGATAATCCAATCAACCAAGATCATGCGATGACCGAGACCGATTAATTGGGACACCTTACTAAGGTATGCTTAGATCAAACTTTGAAGACTGGGTCTCATTCCCAAATGCCCGAATTAAACCCTGGACCGTATCATTATCAGATCGATCTGAATTCCTGCCTTCCATCTCATCGATAGTAAATAGCATTATAATTCTTTTATAAAAAGCGATATATCAAGATCTGGCCTATTGGCTCAATGGTAGAGCGTCGCTCTCCTAAAGCGAAGGTTGTGGGTTCGAGTCCCATGTGGGTCGGAATATTCTTTTTTGTTTTCACTTTTTTTTTTGACTTGACCCCGTCACTTTATGGGAGTTGTCGATTAGCTATGATAAGTACATAGTACTTACTCCACCCCACTCTGCCGCAACTAAATATATATCAATCATCCCGATGTTGGTTTGCTTGCCCGCTCGTATAGGATATGGCGAGTCTGATAAAGATAATATCATATTTTGCTTTTGTTTTTATTAGTACTAAATTTATGATGGCAAGAAGTGTTAACAAACTCTTTCCTGGTTATGAAGCATATACTAAGTGCTTGAGTATATGTGGAAACGGGGTATTTTTTTCGTCTTTGTTCAAAGGATATGGAACAGGATAGTGCTTTGGGGATAAGTTGTCTGGTGTTCCGACTTTTTGAAAAGAATTGTATGATGTATCCTTGCATATTGCGTAGTATAGTTCAACTGTGCTTATGTATTTATTCCGTTGCGCGCCTTTTGTTTGTTCGGAGGTTTGAATCGAAAAATAATGCCTTTCTACTCTATAAAATAATCTATATAAGCTTCGTGGTTTCCACCATATGAGGTCATCGGAAAAGAAATGGTCGTCGATGTACTTCGAGGTCCATCTTTTCCGGGTCCGATAACGTATAGCATAGCACTGCATGGTGTCCATCCCCTAACATCTCCAGAGACGTGTCGCGCACACGAGCATTTTCCGGAATGAAGCCTGCTACCTCCCCCTCACTCTCGACGGCGACTACCTGACGCGCCAGAGTTGCAAAGAACCGAGAATCATATGGCCCTTCGCAATGGGGCCAAGAATCAAGAAGACTTAATGCTCGTTGTCGAGTGGGGAGATCTCGACACCGAAGACTTGTCCAGCCTAGTGGAGCAATGATGCCTATGTCGGCTACTATCTTGGTGAGATCCTGGCCGTACTCTGCCCTCATGCTGTTTATGATGCGCTCGCAAAGGTCCACGAATGTTCGGAACTGTGGTAGATAGTAGTCATATACGAGCTCTGACAGGCTAAGTACGGTATCCAGATCCACCATTAAGACGATATGGTGAAGTCTTATCGTATCCAAGCTGCGTGCTTCTTTGGTAGTCGTCTTGGATGGATGTAATCGTGCGCTGAATGCCTCAAACGCCGAGATATGTTTCATTAGCTGAGTCCGTAGCTTATGGTGCTCGACAGATAGTTGAAGGACGTCGGTCATTGGATTGCAGAGCAATGACCGGCAGGTGGTTCGAAAGCGGAAGATGACATTGCCTAAAGGATCTAGCTTGCCTTTCACGTCTTCCAAGCTTTGGAAGTCGAATTCTTGGTTGAAAACATCAGTAGTCAGGTAGCCGTTCTGTGCTCCTAGTCTAGTTACGGAGCCAGATACTCTGAAGAACGCGGATTGAGCATCCAGCTGTGCGAATGCCCGCAGAAGTGCCCTTTCGGCAGTAGATTCTCGGGCCGGCTGGACACTTTTGACATTACAATGGTACGTGCCTCATTCCCCTTGCGGTTCGCCAAAACCTGAAGCCCGTTCTGGAGATGAGCGAATGCTTTCCCCCGATTGCCCTGAAGGTATTCAAAGAAAACAAAGGTGACGCAGCACATAAGCACAGCCAAGCGAGCCTGAGGATCCTTTGACTGCAGGCGTTTTTGTAGGGCAGAAATGGCCCTGTTGTACTGTTCGAGCGCGAAGCGATGGTGGTCATTACGATCCAAGTCAACTTTCTGCACAAGCGTTCCTCTAGCTTCGGAGTCTTGATGCAAGGCCCCTAGAGCAACAACGGCATGGCATACAGCGGTCTCGGCTTGGCTCAACTGGAGTGCCAGTCGCTCCCAAAGTTCCGAATCGAAGAATCCCACCATCCTAGGCACAGTATGTGTTTGGAAGTAGGTAAAACATCGGCGTTCGTCTGAACTCATTCCGGGGAGACAGACTCGCAGCTGAAACTTTGGGCGACTGGCATTGTGCAAATGCCCGCCGGCTCTTGTTGGAAGTCGGGTGACATCGTACCCATCACAGGTCCGTCCGGTGGAGGTGCAGTTCTTGCACGCTCCAGGAGCCTCATCGCATTTGACTCTTCTCGTCCGACAGGTTCGACATCCGGTGCGGGACTTTGGGGCATATTGTCTCCGTCTTTTAGTGTCCATTTCGGACAGTCACGAGCAACGGGAATTCTGCAGAAGCATGAACTTGGACCCTGAGTCAGACCACTGAGCGCAGTAATTAGCTTACATGCTAGTCGGTTATGGTAACTAGGGGCGTTTAGGTATAGCTTAGTAAGGTGATAGTGAAGCTCTGTTGGTCAAGAGATCGCCACTACTAGTACTTAGTATGCCTGACCGGCAGCAGTTAGTAGCGCTTATTACTGACTCTTGGTGCCTCTCCAACCAGCATCGGTCGTTCACCCATCCTATCAGTAGTAGTCTGCAGCAATCAAGTCTGAGCTTATCTTGCCTTGATAAGACTAGTTCTGTGGGGAAGGTATACTAGCTTTATTCGTGGAATAATCCTTTTGGTTTGTTCGCCTGTGTTAGCGATATCCACAGATATATAGAGGGGTGTTCAACTATGTGGAACACCACCTACTTCCAAAGCACCCGAACACGCGCGCGCGTTCAACCACAACACCCCTGCCACCGATTTGCATACAACGCTTTAAATTTATTAAAAATCAAGCAATTATCAACATATCATATAAATTTATATATAGAATGATACTATTCAGAAATAATATTAAAGATTAGGATTCCTCAGAGAATCATACAGGAGACCCTGAACAGGATACTGTTACGGACCCCTGCTAGTTAACCTACTAGTAAGGCGGACTTGCCAGGCAGAAAGCGCCGATAAAGATAGCGCTCAGGCAAAACCAAATAATTATTTAGTAGAATTCCTGATTACCTCTACAACGCCCAGAACAGCCACGCGTCACGTGACCACAGTATACACACAAGTATACAGTATATAGTATACCATCCTGATCTATAACTACCATGGCAGTATACGACAGACCTAATAGTATATAATATAATATATAAAGAATAGAATATATAAGAATATTTTTTTATATACTTAACTAATTCTATTCTTTATGCTTAATAATACTATCTTTAAATAACTATATATTTGGAAGCTTAGCTACAGAACACTTATCTATATTTATTTATAAATAATTATATAATATTACTTAATCTTATTTCTCTTCTCTTATCTAAGACTAATTATTTTTAAATAATTATCAGCCTAATACCCCCTTGATCCAGTTCAATGGTACATATACCAGTAAAGCTAAGCTAATAGAGACAGAAAAGTAATCTTAAGATTTAATATATTAAATACTAATCAGCACAAGTATTTACTTATTATAATTATTTATTATATCAACTACCTCAAGCTTGCTATGCATGCTGCAGCAGGACTCCAGTATCCAAGAAAAAGAATAATAACAGAGTCCAATAATACAGAAACTAATAAATATAATTAATTAATTATAAAAAAGCATCACTGCCTTGAAATAACAGAACTAGCTATTTAAAGATCATTTAACAGCTAAGTCTATTAAAATCAAACTACTAAAACTATTTAATAATAACTGATTAAAGCTTAAGACTTTCTTGACTTAGTTAGACTTATATCTTAATATAAACAGAGAAAAGCTTAGAAATAAGATTAATAAAATCTTTTTTATATTTATCTATCTAACCAGAACAGCATTCAATTAGTTCGAACCATACATTTATAAGTACCAGGAGAAGTCAGTAAATAATTAGAATAATAATACCAAGAGAATCTTTACTAGCTATACTAGATTTAAAAAACATCTCAAATAAATATTCAGAGATATTAATACAGTATATAATACTAAATAAAAGCTATAACAACTTAAATAGACTGGATTAATATCTAAATATATCTCTAAATTCCTACAAGTCATCAGTTACTTAGACTGGAATAAAGATGCCTACATCACATAATTTAAAAAAAAACTCAAGATAGAGATCTAAAAAAAACTTATTTAATAAAACTAACTAGAAACATTATAATAAATAATTATAACAGCAGTTAAGATTGACAACAAGTTATATAAATATAATATAAAACAGAAAAAAGACTAATAAACCAGTAAATCTATATTTTAATAAAATAACCAACAGAATTATTAAACTAATAACAGACAGCCAATACAGTCTAAAAATCTAGAATATAAGAATTTCTACAGACCAAAACTAATAGAACTAGATATAATACAGTATTAGATTTAACAGAACAGAGTCTCTAAGAAGAAGCTTAAAAAATATAAAAAAGATTATTTATACTTTAATTATAACAAAGCAGATTATTAATTAAAAAACTGTAAATAAAAACAGCAACAGCCTTAAAAATAACTAAAAACTATTAAAAACTAGACTAGAGAAGTTTATAATATTACTACTTATTTACCAGAAATATAAACAGAAATTATAATACACATACCAGGTAGCAAGAAGCTACATACTATATAATAAAAATAACTACCAATATCAGTAAGCAGGACATACCAAAACCAGTTAAAATAATAAATTACTATAAATAAACTAATAATACTATCAGAATCATAAAAAATCCATTAACTATCTGAATTATTTAATTAGCCCGCGGAAGTCAGTAACAGCAATAAACCAGTTCTAAAGAATAAATACTTTAATATAATTTAGAATAAATTCAATCCTTTAAATAAAGAATATAATACTCAACTAAAAAATCTTAAACCCAGCAAGAAAAGATTTAATAAAATATTTAATATTCTGAAAAAATCTCTATCAGAAACCAGCAAATCATGCCTGATATACCGGGATAAAAACAAAGAAAACCAAGAGAATAAAAAAGATATTTTTTATTAGTTAAACTATATTATAAAAGAATTTAAGGAGAATCTAGTATAATTTTACCTGAAATTCAAAAAAATCATACAGTATTATCTATATTAAGATCTAAAATATTAAGAATTACAGAATAAGAATTAAGAATTATATCTATAAAAATATTCTTATTATCCAGAATTTTACTTAATATATAAATAAGATAATACAGATTACCACCACCATCTATTTAAAATTAGTTAAAAAGTAGAAGTAACAGGAGTAGACTTATAATATAACTATAAAAAATATTTATATAAATATTTTAAAAAAAACAAAAGATACCGAAAACATGATAAACTTTTTTAAATTATATACTATACGGATATGTGCTCCACGTATTATAACTAGAAATATATTACAAGTTACCAACTACAGATACTGGAAATAGTAAATACCAGAAAAAATTACTATTTATATTTTAATTATAACTGCTTATATATAGGGTACAGACGACATCTATATTATAATATAATATATTAAATAACATGCTTCGACAACCAATATATAATATACTATACGGCAAAAATAGAAAACTCGAGATTTCTAAGAAAATACCCAAAATAACCAGAACCTAATTAGCCAGATCAACAGTTAGCAGCTACTAAATCAGAAAAATATTTAAAAATCTAAGTAATTATACTAGATTAACCAGCTCAGGTGCTAATAAACTTTAGTATAACCAGAAACTTCATAAACCTGTAATTCATACAGCAACTAGAAATACTCAGAAAATAGAAAGAAAAACCAGAATTAATTATAAAACTAAATAAAGAGAACCTAGAAACTCTTATATTAATAATTAAATCAAGAACCATATCTATAACTGTAATAAGTCACTGCAAATACATAAATTTTAATATAATACTATTAAAACAGTATAATATTATATTAAGAATTCTATAGCTCAGGAATCATAATCCACAGATTAATTAAAGAACTGAGAGTCTCCAGTTTATAAATTATAATTATTTAAAATAATATCAGTAAGGACCAGATATAAAGTCTAGATCTGTATAATCCACTAACCAGTAAGAAACTGGAGCAAGGACTAAATAATTTATAAAAAAATTAAAAATATTATAAAAGTCTAATACACCAAGTACTAGAAAAAGCTCAAAGGAAAGTAACATTTTAAATATAATTATATAAATAATAACAGCAACTAAATTATTACAACAGGATTAGCTTAAGGAATTACCGGGATAAATACTGGCAATAATAAACAAATACTAAGAATACAGTATTAAGGATACTAACTCAGAAACTAAGATATAAAAATAAAAACATAAGACTAATAATATAAAATAATAAAAAACTTAAGTATAAAAATCTAGATCTTATAATATAAAGCCAGGGACTTAGAATAAATAAAAACCTGAGTATACTAATATAAAACCACAAAATTTATAAGAACTTCTAGCTATAACCAGAAATAACCTGTATATTTTACTACAGTATAAAAAATTCAAGAATCTGTTTAAACAATTAGAATAATCTAAATTATCTTAATATAAAAAGCATAACTATACTATCCCTATTAAAAAAGAAAAGTCACCAGTATATAAAAAAATTTATCTAATATCTGAAAAAAAATCACAGGCACTATAAGAATATATTAATAATTAATTAGTAAAAGATAATATCAGACCGTTAAAATCACCCATAAAATATAAAATCTTATTTATACTAAAGAAAAACAGCAGCCTACAGTTATATATAAATTACTAATTATTTAATATAATTATAATCAAGAATCAACACCCGCTACCCTTAATCTCAGAAATCTAAGATAAGATACAAGAAGCAAAATAGTTTATTAAACTTAATATCACAGATACATATTATTATATACATATCATAAAAAATAAAGAATAGAAAATTATATTCAGAATAAAATATAAATACTTTAAATACTTAATTATATTATTTAGATTAACCAACACACCCATGTTCTTTCAATAATACATTAACAAGGTACTCGGAGAATATCTTAATAAATTTATAATTATTTATCTAAATAATATCCTGATCTTCTCAAAAAACAAGAAAGAATATATTAAATATATAAGACTTATATTATATAAATTATACCTACATCACTTACAATATAAGCTGAAGAAGTGTAAATTCTATATTCAAAAAACAAAATTCCTAGAATACTAGATATCTACAGAAGAAATCTATATTAAGTAAATTAAAATATAAGCTATCAGAAACTAGTCTTAATCTAGAAATCTGAAAAAACT